TACGTACGGCATGTCGGCAGCCCCCGTTGGAGGCCCCGAGGCGAGGCCGGCACGCCAGTACGTCGTACGTGTACGTGATACAGTGCTGACGACAGCCACAGGGATCGGATCTGCCGCCTGCGCGTGCAATGTCGTCCGTGGCCGTGGGCAGTGGCGACGCAACGTACGTAAGGCGGGGACCGCTGCGGCGGGTCGGCCGTACTCCCTCCGTAAGGAATGACGTTTTTTATTTTTAGACGTTATCGTTCGTTTTATTTAAAAAATTTATGTAAATTATAAAATAAATAAATTAATATTAAGGTTTCTCTGATAATAAAATAAGTTATAAGAAAATATATGATATTTATAATAAAAAAATAAATAAGATGGATGGTTAAGGCCTGTTTGGCAGGGCTTCTCCACCAGCTTCAGAAGCCGTTTGGAGCCGTTTTCTGCCAAACGGGGTAAAGTGAAATAGCTTCACTGGTGAAGCCCCTAAAAACATGCTCTCACAATGATTTGGGTGGGATGGAGCCAAAAAAATTGGCTTCTCCTGGCTCCTTCTCCAGACCCCTAAAAACATGCTCTCACAGGGAAGCCATTTTGTCAAACGATTTATCAAAACCGCTTCAGCTCCACCGGTGGAACTGTTCGTGGAGCTGAAGCATAAAAAAAACTTTAGTAGTGAAGTGAAGTCCAGTCAACGGGGCCTAAATAAGATGTATGAAAATAAAAAACGATAACTCTTTTTTCGACGAGGGAGTACGTAACGAGCAGCAGCCAGAGCTTGGGTGTGGCGTGCGGCTTCCGCGGCACGTCCGTCCAAGCCCGGGCCCGATTGGCGATTACGATACGACCGGACCAGCTAGCCGTAAGGTTGATTGGCGATTACGATACGACCGGATCCAGAGCGGCGTGAGCTGTCGTGATTTGGATGTGCAATGTGTTCCTGGCTGCTTAACGACCAGCAGGCTCATAAATGATCATAGATTATTTACTACTTATTAATTTAATGTGAGAGAAAAATATTATTTCAGCTTATAATCCACGATCATATACGAGCCGACGAACAAGCTACAGATATACTACTAGTACAACAAGCGATATTGGCAGCTGTCAGCTGGTCTGCTGTGGCTTTTGAGGACTTGTTTAGTTTCTTCACTAAAACTTTATACCCTATCACATCGAATGTTTAAATAAATGTATAGAGTATTAAATATAAACTAAAAAAATAACTAATTACACATATTACGACTATTTTACTATACGAATCTTTTAAGCCTAATTAGTACATGATTTGATAATATGGTGCTCCAGTAACATTGCTAATAACGGATTACTTAGGATTAATAAATTCGTCTCACAGTATACTGACGGATTCTGTAATTTATTTATTTTTTTATTATCCGAACACCTCATGCGATACCTACATATAACATCCGATGTGACAATCTGAATCTAAACAAGTCCAGAACTGTCGTCTCGACGGCTGCCGCCCGCCTCCAGCTCGATCGCGCGCACACATCGATTTCTCCGTGATCAAGCAAGAATAAGGAGGGTCCGCATGCATGATTACTGGCGGGACGACCGCAAATTAGACTTAAACCCGTATATACACACGATGGCACCCGGAACCTACTCCACCGTTCAACGGCAAAAAAAAAAATTGTCATACGCCGGCGCTTGAGCTGTGCATTCTACTCTGTCCAGATGGAAATGTACGGGGTTTTAGTTAGACGTGTGGTATGGGTAACCTACGCACGGTTATACTCCTAGAATTTGGCCACATTTACCACCCACAAAAAAAATGTTTTGGGGTGATGAGCACCTCCGCGACTGTATGTCTATGCACGCTGCATAAATTTAGAAAAAAAAACAATTGGAAAGACTAGTCTTAAATATTAGATGCTTAAAACGGGTTGTTTGGTTACTGACCACAGTTTGTCACACTTTATCGTAGGCAAGTTTGACTAAATTAGCAATGTTTGAAAAAAATGTTTGTTTGACAAATCTTAGAAAAGTTTATTTTGGGTTTCACATGTCATAGAGTATGGCAAGATTCCCTTAGACATGACAAAGTGTCACTTCTAATTTTCTAACCACACTTTTTATGGTTTGCCACACTTACATAAGGTTAGTTGTGATAGATTATGACCGGGACCAAACAATCTCTAAATTCGCCCACATCAGTGCATGCATGAGAATAGTCTCCATCCAATTTTGTCCCCCTCCCAGGTTGCCACCACTACCCCTTGACGCCTTGAGCCGCCCATCCGAGAGGGAGATGGTGTCGAACCATGTAGGATATAGTAAGTGTGTGTGTTTAATAAAAAATAGAAAGGAGAATAGAAGACACGTCGCGCACACAAACAAGAATTAAGATGTTAATAAAATTGTTATCATATCGGCATCGTCATAAAATCCCCTACAGATTGTACAAGTAAGGAAGTCAATTAAGTATGCAATAAAGAATTTATGCTAATATAACAAGATGCAATATTGCTACCGCTTTAACCCAACCTCTTTTGAATCTATTTTGTCCCTCCACCAGAGATAAGATGGGCAGAGTAAACAACTGTACACAGTGTACATTGAGAAACCTTACTAAATACAGCATGTCAAGGATGGAACTGCTTCTGTTTTTTTTTTTTTTACAAGTTCGAAAGACATGAACACTCTCTTCATATTGGTGGCAGGGATGTTTCAAAGCTGAGGATTTGTACCCACAGTATAAAGAAGCACTTGTGCAATTGGCGGAGAATCGGCCGAGATCTCAAAAGTGCGAAGCTCAAGTTGCTAGGAGACCGGGCATGCTCTCAAGTTACTTGTTTTAGAAGTGAAAGATCCTATGAAAGCAAATGTGTGGAAGTTGGCCTGTGGCTGTTTCTAATGGTATTAAAGTCGGTGATAAAAGCTACCGAGGTTGTTTTGTTGTGAGAGAAAAGTCATCAGTAGATTCTAAATCGATAAGCGAACATGCCCTGATCTGCTGAGTACATAGATCCTCTGGGAGGAATCGGTTGGGTCACGCAGATGGCTTGATCTCAGGGAGTTGGGCTTAGAGGTTCCCATGCTAGTGTTAAGTTGGGCTTATAAGGCCAGTCTCAACAAGAAAATTTATGACGTTGTTTCTAATATCAACTCCCATTGAGACCGACATAAGCTCTTAGCTCTCACAGTGAGGGTTAAACCTCTTAGAGCAACTCCAAGAGATGGGCTATTTGTAATGTCTAATCTAAATTTAGATATTTTGGTAAGATATAGAGGTCCAACAATGTTCTATCCGGCAATCTAAAATAGCAAGCGCTCTATCCTGTGCTCCTCGGTAGCTAGAAATAGCACACCGCAGCTGGACTTGCCATCCGCCTCCCGGACCTATTCATGCATGGCTCGTGGTCCTCCCACGTCGTGGATCATTTTTCTCATGAGTTCTCGCCATGCACCCGCGCTCAATAGCTCGCCACCATGTCTTTGGGAAACAAGATGATCTCACTCGCACTTGATTTCGTGGAATCCGATCTCGCACTTCGTCATGCGGCACTTGTCTTTCTTCTTCTTCATGCCGCCAAGCTTTGATCTCGCTTGAAATTTATCTCGACACTTTGTCTTCTTCTTGCCGCTATTATGGCAAAATTAATTGAGCTCGGTGGGGAAGTGACGAGAAGCGAGGAGTAGAGATGGCGGCATTGGTAATCGAAAGGATAATGAGCGATCTAATCCGATGACGTGTATTAGTTTTAAAAATAGAGAACCGAAAATTTAGACAGGCTGTTGGGTTACTCTAGTTTTTTTGGTGGGTATTTTATTTTAGACAATGGCTAAATTATGGATTTTAGCATCTAATTTTACATGATCTCTTGGAGTTGCTCTTATGTCCGGATGTTGGCTGTAATACCTTGAATAGTTTTGTCGGTGATATCCCCAGTTGAGTGTCGTACACCTTCCGCCTTGGTTTTTTGCTTAGCAACATCGTAGAGTCCTCACGTGATGTATGGTAGAGGAAACGAGCATGAAACGAATCTCAACGCAGTCACTTCCTTCTTCGTTCCACTGTAGGAGTAGTACTCTGCGTTGGATTCCTTTTGGTTTCGCCCGGAGCGGGCGGACCCAGCGCCAGCGCCGCAGCTGCAAGTGGGCAGCCAGGCAAACGAAAAGGAGCGAAGCGAGCATGCATAGCTGGGCGCCAATCCCAACAAACTCCGAGGTCCCAGCACTACTGGCGCCTGCCACTGCCCGCACTCCACTCCCGCCTCGGCCTCGCGCGGCCCCCACGGCCAGCCAACGACGAGTGGTGGGCGCCAGGGCGCGCCCACTGCTGCCCCTACTGCCCAGCCCGCGCCGGAGGGGCAAGCCGACCCGCCGTGCTCCCCCACCACCCACCTCCCCCTCTCTGCCCGCCTGCCTCCGCCCATGCCTCCGCACAGCTCCTACCGTCCTTTGCCCTGCCTTTCACGCTCCTTTATTTTTCTCCTTTTGATTGAATTTTTTTGAGTCGATCCACACAGTTCGATCTACTACTTAACCTGTTTGCAAAGGCACTGTCGGTCCAATCGAATGTGCACCCCAACAAGCCTTGATTTCCCGGGCAAAACAAAACATGAACTTGTTGGTTTCATCCATGCTTTGCCATGGGGTATATACGTACTATAGTACAGAAGCAGTGATGCGGATCACCGCGAGCACCAGCCGTTCTGCCTTTGTAATCGTTGTTCATTCAATTCGGATTGAAAGAACTGGAAGCAGAGAGAGTTCATGATCACAGATTGCTCTAAATTATGAAGCGATCCAAAAAAAGAGGACACCCTACATAGCAAAAGCGAAGCAACCAACCAAAATGTCACACCACACCACACCACACTCAGCGCTCACGAAAAAAGGTAGGTGACCACGATCAACTAGTCGATCACCGGAATCGAACTACTCCAACAAACTAGCGCACGCTAAAGCACACATCTGCCTCAACTACTTTCTGTACAATTTGCTCGTGATTCGTGGTCGCCGCCGGTCCGGTCACCAGTGGGTCACCGGAGTAGGTCGGCCCGCAGGTGCGAGAGCTCCTTCCTCAGTCGGTGGGAGAAGAGCCTGCACGCGTCCATGCTCAGGTCCACGGCCGCCGCGAGGGCCACGAACGCAGCCGCGTCCTCGGCGCACCCGACGTGCGCCACCCCGACCTCGACCGTCGGCTTGCTGCACCGGCCCTCGCCCTGGACCGCGGCGGACATGACGAAGCCGCGGTAGTTGCCCAGGGGCCAGTTGCTCAGGTCGCCGCTGCCTCTCGGGCTGCACCCGGGCGTGCCCCCCCGGCTGAGCGGCTGCGCGGCGGTCAGGTCGATGGCGAACTTGCCGCCCTTGGACGAGGGGATGGAGGAGTCGGCGAGTGCGACGGCGTGGTCCGCGCCGGGGACCAGGAGGTCGAAGTGGTAGCCCAGGCTGTCGGACGCGCCGGCGCCGCCGCGCTCGCGCCAGCACTCGAGGCGCGCCCAGGGCTCCCAGGCGCCGTCGCCCGCGGGGCGGAGGATGAGCCACGCGCCCGGGTTGGAGCGGCTCACGCGGTCCGTGCCCGGCGACGGCACGAAAGGCGTGACCATGGACGCCATCGCCACGGGGGAGCCCTTCAGGTCGTGTACAGTCACCGACCACCCCTTGCGCTCCTTGGCCGACGACGCGGCGTCGCGCTCCGGCTGCATCCCGGGCCTGCGCAGGTCGCTGTTGCTGCGGCATCCGAACTTGCAGGTGAACATGGGCTGCTTCATGCTGCTGCCCACCTGCAGCACCTGTGGGCTGCACTCCGGCTCGCCGTCGAACTCGAAGACAAATCTCGGGTCCGGCTCCGCGCGGATGGTGAGGCTGAGCTCCGTCGCCGCAGCGGGACAGACCTTCCCGGCTCGCTTCCCGATGGAGATCCAGCCGCTGTGCAGCACGGCGGGCTTGGCCTCGGCGCCCTTGAGGTCGAGCGGGATCGTAGCCTTCCCAAGCAGCCGCCCGGAGCTGACGCCGCAGGTACTCCCCTTCCGGCCGGCGTAGACCGACACCTTGAGGCTGGCCTCCCCGCGCGACGAGAAGAGCGACGGCTTCCCGTTGAACCACGCCAGGTCAGCCTTGGACAGGTGGAACGCGGCGGCGAGTGCCCCGGACGCCGGCGTCTGCTCGCCGCCGTCGGAGACCACGAGCGGCGCCGGGACGCTCTGCACCGGCATCTTCCCGAGCCGGATCTTGCAGTAGCACGGCGACGTGGACGGGTGGACGCCGGCCCCGGCGCCGGCGGCCGGCGGCGCCACCGGCATTCTGAGCGCGAGGTTGCCGACCAGCACCCGCACGAACGGGCACGGGTCCATGGCGCGCTTGCTGCTCCTCCTGTCACACCTCCACTCCCTCCCACCCCTAAAATCCGCGCGAAATTCCGCTGAGATTTGGCGGCGACGGGGGCAATGCGGAACGAGGGCGAGGGCGAGAGCGATGCGTGGTGAGGGAGATAAGGGAGGGGACGAGTTGGTATAAGAATCGGGTGAGGAACGGCGGAGCCGTGGAGTGGGAGGAGCCAGGCTGGATCCTGGTGTGCTGTGGCTGTGAGACACCAGTCCGCACACGCCCCACTTGCGCCGCAGCTCGGGATCCCGTCACTCGCGCGCGGGCCCGGCTGCCGAGGCCCCGGGTGTCAGTGACGGCACGTGGCTTTCAGGTTAGGCGTGGTAGGCGCCGTGGGGACGCGTGCGTGGGGAGGCGAGCTGGACCCGAGACGGATCCGAACGGGCAGCGGCGGGGGCGCGCTGCACTGTGGCCAGGTCCAGGCGGGGGCCTGCGTGGCGTCGGGGTCAGTTGGTTGCGGCTTCCTTTTTGGTTGGAGCTAGCTGCCTGCTGCGCTGCTGGCTGCTGCTGCTCGAAGTACGGCACGACCGACCAATGAGAAGTTGGGCCCACTGGAACTGTGTTACTGGACCCTTATGTCAGTCGGAGGCTGTAGCGTCGGGAATTAAATTGGACTTCTGACTCTCTGAGTGCGTGGGCCTACTACGTGGTTTTGCTGTAGTTTTTCCGTTTTGTAACGGTCCATACTCCAGGTTTCACCTGAGGCCCTTGTTTAATTCTCCCAAACTCCTGAAAAATATACTATGCAAAAAGAAGATTTCTCATCACATCAAACTTACGGTACATGCATGGAGTACTAAATGTAGACAAAATCAAAAACTAATTGCACAGTTTGCTTTAACTTTGCGAGACAAATCTTTTGAGCCTAATTAGTCAATGTTTGAACAATAATTCACAAATACAAACGAAATGCTACAGTATGGAATCTTCACTATGCAAAGTTTGCCTGCTCAAACTTTGCCCAACTAAACACCCCCTGCATGGCGAATAATCGGGCGGCACTTTTGCCATAGTTGGCACTTGGCACCTGATGCCGCGAGCAGTCACCCCGTTCGTTTGGGCTTGTCTGTCCTATAAGCTGTACTTTTTTAGTCAATGAATAATATTTTTTTTCACACCAAATCAACCTACGGTACTTTTAGCCATGACTTATCAGCTAAACAAGTCCAAGCGAACAGGGCGAATGTTATGCGGAATTTTTTTCAATTTTCAGTTTCACCTGATGGCAGATAACGGAATTTTTGACCGGTTGTGTGTTTGGTGGTCCTGACTCCTTAGATTAACAACTGTTACTTAAAAAACTCATGATTAACCATCAGGGATATTTATGCGGAAATTTTGTAAATGTTTGCTGACACCACTGTAATTCTGCAAACACCAAATCTATCTCGTTCCTAACAGGACCCGGAAACGAAACGCTTCACAAGATTACGATATTTTTCACGGATCACAAGATTAGCGATCAGCAGTAGTAGAGTGGATCGTCGTAAACAAATTTGTTTTTGGCAGCACCACTGTAAACGCGCATGCAACAACTGCAGCAGTAAGACCGGTAATTTGTAGGCATCCCTGCGTACTAGGAGCACCTTTGTTTGCAGTGCAGGCGCCGCACGTTGGTGTCTCAGGTGCCGTGGATTGTCGTTTCAGACGAGCAGCAGCGAGCCCGCCGGAGATGTCATGTGCAGGACAGCCAGCACCCCAGGCACCTGAGACCGCCCGGAATGTTTTGAAGAATCCAATGCGCTAGCGTGGCAGGTCAGGTCAGGCTCAGGTTCAGCTGGTGCCCTCATCCACTAATCCATTTTTTAATACCCGAGGTAATCTAGGGTGGCCGAGGGCCGGACGGACCGCCGGATCCGTCATGTGACAGCCGCTGCGGCCAAGGATTTCTTTAAAAAGAAACGCACGGGTGGGCGAGGGCTCGGATGATTCAGCGGAGAACAACACCGGGTCACTGCTGGACGAACAGTGAACAGTGCGCACAGCTTGGCGATGACTCATCGCTGATCTGAACAAAAATGTACTTTTTTTTAATGTTTAGATTGGGCAGCTAAAGTTTAGTCGACTAATTTTAGTTATTTTTTATCTAAACACTATGATTAAATGGTATTTAGCCAATTAGGCTGTGTTTAGTTCCCGAAATTTGGGAATTTGGTTACTGTAGCAATTACGTTTTTATTTGGCAATTAGTGTTCAATCATGGACTAATTAGGCTCAAAACGTTCGTCTCGCAATTTGCAACCAAACTGTGCAATTAGTTTTTTTTCGTCTACTTTTAATGCTCCATGCACGTATCGCAAGATTCGATGTGATTGCTACTGCAGTACTTTTTGGGAAACTTTTTGGGAACTAAACACAGCCTTAGTCACCAAAGGTTGCTAAATGGGACTAAAACCCAGGTTGCCTCATCTTTTAGTTACTTTGGATAAAAAAAACCTGACTAGAAAGGATATTTTTAGTCCACAAAACTAAATATGAGCTAAAAATATGAGCTAAATTTTAGGAGCTTCAATTTAAACATGCCCTTAGTATAAGAGAAAAGAAAGGGCGGAAGAGGTTAAGGCTGATGCTGTGCTGTCCAGCCGTCGCCGCAGCTGCACGGCTTGGGGCCTACACGTATCCATCCATCTCAATTATAAACGCCCTCATTATTCCATTCCCCAGTTGCCATTAACTAATCCGGTCGCCGATCTGCCAGCTCGCCCACAGAGACGAGACCCCGCGCAAAGGCGCAACTTGGGTGGCCTGTGGGCCCCGGCTGAGACTGTGACCCCACGAGGCAGCGAGACGGTCTGTGCGCAGGATAAGAGGCGTGCGCTGTTCTGCTTTTACGCCGGAGTTCATGTCCATCCGTCCGTCCTTCCAGGCTGGGCACAGCTATGGGCCGGGGCCCACGTGGCTGGCTGTGGCTCGTACTAGTACTACCACCATCGTCCATCGGCTTGGATTCCAGGTCCCTCCCAAAAAAAATCGCCGCGGCGACTGGACGGATCGCGTCGGGCTGGCTGGCGCGCGTGCGCTGCCGCTGCGCTGGAGCAAGCGAGCCGCGAGCGGCAGTGTTGTGGTGTGTGCCAGGCCAGATGAGATGAGCCGTGCAGGCGCAGCAAAGCGCAAGGGCCGCTCCAGCTGTCCCGTGCGAGCGGAGAAGAAGACACCTGTGCTGTGTTGCGACGACCTGCATTGCATGGACATGGCCCATGGCCATGGATGGAGATCGGGTCGGCCGGTCGGGGGTGCTCTTTTTGTTGAGGTGGGTGATCGCCTGATCGGATGAGGGGAAGGCCGCTGGGCCAGCCATTTTCATTGTTCATGGCAGCGAAATCCGGCAATTTTTGAAATTGGTGGAGCGCGGCTTGCCAGCGCATGGCACGAATGTCTAGCGATTGGAATGCAATACAATGGTCCTCCACACGGCCCACACCTTTGGAGATTGGCGAAGCAAGTTTGAAACGGTGCCAGAAGCTAGAAGTTTTTTTTTTCTATTATCGTCCACAACTAGCATCTTCTTTCGAGCTTTCGAACTTATCAATTTGTAGAGGCTTAGAGAACTCTATGCTTCGAGTTCGAGTTGCGATAGCGGGGCTCACACTGACCGGCTCCACCGCGATGCTTTCACTAAAGTCTACCAGACGCAATTGTCAGTTTTGTCACAATGCAACTTGGGCTGTGAAGGCACACCAAAAATGGTTGGACGGTTGGACCGGCTAGGCTTAGCCCACGCCCAAGCTGGGTTTGGACCAAGCAACCAATGATACATTGATACACACCCTAATCTGCTGCTTCTGGGCCCTGAGCCCTGACAGTGAAAACGAATCCGCATCAGTTTCCTATTGAAGGGACTCGAATTAAACAGAAGTATAAAAGAGCGGAAATGCTCCGCTGCTCACTTTTCTAAAATAAGCTCCAATCCTAAAGCAACCAGTTAATTTAGAACACGTGACGAGGACTCGCCAGGTGCTGCTGTAGTGCGAAGAAGAATGCTGGGTATGGTGTTGCAGTTTATCAAGCGACGATGCACACGGTTAGTGTACAGTTTTTATCTCAAGCAACGCAACTCGTCACACCTGGCATATGTAAAACTTTTGATTTGAAATCCTTCAGGCCGGAGAACAGCCCACACCAATCCAGCCCAGCCCAGCCTAGACCCTCAACCCACCACTATGTTCTATGTGATGTTATGATAAAAAGTCTATGGGAAAAAAGTTGTGCGCGATCGATGCATGGATTGCGGTGTTTTTAAGCCTTGCTCACACGAAAAGGTTTGAACACAACGTCATTATTCTGTTGTGACGCACAGGCCCACACCTAGACCTTGTTGATCTACTCCATGTGGACAAATTCAATGAAATCCAATCCAAGGGATAAAAATCCGATTCCAATCCTGCCCCAAAACAAAAATGACTAATATCCAAGTCCAAATCCATCCAGCATGGTACAATCTATCCTAATATTAACACAAGGCTAAGGTTTTTCTGTCCTTCATCGCTTACAACCATCTGATAGGGATCATGGCTCACAAACATACAATTGGAATCGGAAGGATCCAATTGGATTTAGGATTATGCAAATCCACTCGAACCTCTACAAAAAGATAATCAAAGCACAGGACAAAAGACTTGGGACTACATCACTCCATATGCAGCAGCAAATAAAACAGCATGAACAGAACGATATTAACAAGACTGAGTTATAACAATGATACTGTATTGTCTGATCATAGTGGTTCGACATGCTCAACTAGCAGGAAGCTTCAAGAGCACCATCCAGAATACACCAACTTCGTCCACTCAAAGCTAAATAATTCATTACATGGTATTATAATAAGAGTACAATCTGTCTTTCAGGTTCCCATCCATGCCTCCATTCTTCTCATGCTTTGGAGCTCCTCAAGTTTCAGCGGTACTGCATAATAAGAATGCACATTGTGAGCCTCAAAATCGAAACAACTGTATGCCTTAACTATAATTGCTTTACATCGCTTAAATATATACATACAAGAACTAGAAACACCAACTCACTTTTTACAAGACATGTCTCAAAGCTTGTGCCAGTGTACAAAGCACAAATATGAGAATTACGGCCTTAATTTTATAACAGAAGACTTTACATTCCAAATTGCTGATCCAACTTTTCAGCATCAGAAGCCACAGCACAACTGTTTACCTACAACTAAAATGCCTAACATTTTCGTCATAAAAGAGGCATCGGAAGCTCTAGATCATAAGAAACACTGGCTGGATATGGAAACAACCATGCTTCAGAGCTTATACCCAAGTTGTCAATTATAGACCAACTCTTACAATAAGAAACTTCACAGGTTCCATATTGCTAATACCAAGAATCTGATAACCATAGTCTTGCTAGTATCTTCATATTGCAAATTAAGAATTAAGCTGTACAGCACTACCATAGTCTTGCTAGTATCTTCATATTGCTAATTAAAAAATTGGGCCAATCACAACAATTTACAAATTCGACTAGAGATGACACTCTGTAATCCAGCAAGACACTAATTCGAATGCAAACAATTACACAACTAGACTAAGACCTATACTACCGAACAGGATAAGAAATTATGAAAATCCAAGCAAGTATTGACAGCGGCCATATAAACGCAGTAATATGGGCATCATGGGCATTGCTTCCACTTCTAAGAAACCACGAAACAGACTACTTAAACTCGCCCCAGTTGGACCAACACAGATACATCATGGCGAGGCGTACTCTGGGCTATGGCATGGCATAGCAGAATAAATCGTACGCTTATGGATTACCCAATCAGGCAAACCGGTAACCACTACTAACGCAGGCCAGGGAAGCGAGCAGAGGCCGGAAGATTTTGGCGCGTACCTTGATGAAGCCGATGTCCTTGGCGTTGCTGCGGAAGCACTGCCTGCAGCACATGAGCCCGTACTTCCGGATGAGGCCGTGGGGGTTGGCGCACACACGGCTGCAACCACACACCGCGGCATCCATTAGCAATCACCATCACCAAGTACGAAGTGGTATATAATAAGAACAAGCATAAGGGCAAGCAAATCTGCTTGGGCCAGAAGCACCAAAATCTAACTCCAAGCTCATGCCACAAATCTGGCGGATTAAACAGAAGACATATATATAGCACAAATGACATCGGCGATTAGGTGGGGCGAAGGAACTAGAGGATTACCAAACCCTGGATCCAGGGCCGTAGTTCTTGGGGTGCGAGTTCCACACGTTGGAGTGTCCCATGGCGGCGGCGGCGGCAGGGGAGGAGGAGGCCTCGCGAGTAAACCCTAACCTTGTCTGACTTGGTTTGTGATTCTGAGCGGTGGCGAGAACGTTCGGCTTCTTCTATAGGAAGACGGATGGCATCGCTTCACTGGGCTTTTCATTGGACCAACCCAACAAAGATGACAAGGTGGACTGATCCATCTTGGTGTTTGAATTGGACCAAAACTTGGCCCGGTCTGTCATATTTTTTTATTCTTCCAGAAAAAAGAAAATCCATTTGTCCAATTTTCGCCAAAGTTCTACCTACCACAATCGAAACTAAGTTTCAGGGGCCCGTTCATCTTTGAAAACCATTCGATTTTGCTCCCTAAAAAAGACTCGATCCACGGGACGGTCTCGACATCATTTTGACTAATAGTGTCATATCGGTTCCGCTTACATAGCGCCATGTCATGCGATGGAGCTAAATCAAACCGAGCTAACTGTTTATAGGAGGTAAATTTTTGAAACTATTGAAATGTCTTTTCCTCTGAAAGGTTATACCGTACATCTCAAATATGACTTAATATATTAGGCTATTTTAACCTAACTAAAAATATGAAATCGGTTTTGCTTTTTTATAAAACAGTGTTCTATCCTATGGTATCTAGTTTGGAATTATTTAAATTTTATATGGTCTCATTTTAATGTTTATTTATTACTAAATCCGTTCCAAATTATAGTTCGTTTGGCTTTTTTGACCTCAAGTTTGACCACTTGTCTTATTCAAATTTTGTGCTAAATATCACTTTTTTTGTTGTGGCTTGCTTTATTAACAAAAGTTCTTCAAGAATGATTTTAAATTTGACTATGTTTGCACAAATTTTTTTGAATAAAACGAAGCGGTCAAACTTGGGTCAAAAAAAGGTCAAACGAATTATAATTTAGAATGGAGGAGTAATAAAGATGCTCTTATTTGTTTGTTAGTTCACGTTTGCGATATATATAATAGATAGGAGTTCAAGCGATTTAGATGACAACAAAACTGTCGCGTAACTACTGACCACCTCGTCCTTCTCCTTTCCCTTAATTATTCAGTACAAAATGTGGCTTACCTTTTTAAAAAAAAAGAGGCGTCTATCTCATCCTTCTTCTTTCATTTAATTACTCCGTATATAGGCAGCATGTTTGCTGGTTGGTTTCTGGGCTGATAAGTCTGGCTGGTGTTGGTTTGTTATGAGAGAAAATACTGTACCATGGCTGATAAGCCCTGGCTGAAACCAACAAGCGAACAGGCTGAGGATGTGGTTTAGTTTTTTTTTGGAAAACAGGTGTATTGTTTCATTGGTATATTTCGCTACCTTGTTTCATTGATATTTGGTTGCATGTGTAGCCCACACCGGTCACTGCCCGCCACCGCTACCAACGAGGTGACGTGCATAACCTTTATGAAACACGAGGCTTTCAAGAGTGATGTTTAGCCACTTTGGAGTTTCATGGAATCATGTCTCAGTTTTCATGACTCACATATGTTGAAAATGGTATAGACAAGCCCCGTTCTCATAAAACTCACTTTATTTTATGAATTTTTCATCGTTTTCTCATCATTTATACTATATCATATCAGCTTATTTAATGTCTATGAAACTCTCATAAAAATCTAACTTGTTGCAAATATGGTTCCTCAAACCACAAACGAGAACATGCTTTCTAGGTGGACATACGATAAAACATGATTTAAGCCTATTCATTCAACAAAAATTGTACTAACGGCCGCGGGCCCATAATCTTTATTTGCCACACTCGTGTTCGCTGCTGAAGCAACCCTCATATGCGTGTCAACACGAGATTGGACAAACTTCGCACGGTGGGCACACCTTGTCTCCCCCCTCTGCCTTCCCTTTGTACTCGCGTGTCTCGTCTCCCTCATCTTCGACAGCTATTAGAGATTTGGGTTTTCAGGGGGCGAGGAGGGGGAGCTGATGTGGCAAACATGGTGATGACGGGGTGTTGGGTGTTGAGTGAGGGGACAGGAGCTTGGGGATTAGGGTTTGGAGAGAAACATGAGCGACTCTGATGTGGTGACATCATCACCGCACTCATGGTCTCGAATTGGACACCATGTTCGTGTGCATGCGATGCGATGATGGATGTGAGTCTCTTATTGTGCGGCTCACTCGTTGCTAAAGACTAGCAACAAATGAAATTTATTAGTCATACCGAAAAAACTAATCAAGAGAATAAAGTAATCATAGATATTTATTGTCACTGATGCATGAAAGAAAAGAGATTAAGAAAATGTCGTCATGCAAAGAACCGAAGATATTTATGAGAGAAAAGAAAATTTTAATCGACTATGCAATGAAAGTAGTAGGTTGAAAGAGTTCAATTAAAAACCGTCAATTGAAATCTAAATGGCGCACGTGCCCTAAATAAAAATCACATGGTATACGGCTCGTTCCTGTGCATGTATAGCGTCTACGGTGTTGTAGTTGAAGTTGTGTGTTGTGACCGTCTGCATTGTACCGTGTAATTAAAAAAACTTGTAGAAAGACTAAATAAATTTCTTTTTTTCTTCAAAGAACTATTTTTCTCTAAATTTTAGTTGGACAACTAGGGTAGTCCACTCCAAACATGTCCTTATTTTTTGATGGCGTAGATGATCAACGCGATGATGATGCCCCAGAAGAGCCAAGCCCAACTGCACACGAAAAGTAAAAGCGTGGTGTCAGCTGAGACGGATCGATATGTATCAAATGCATGGACGATCGATGGAGCTAGTACCACATACCGAGCACTTGGCGCACTCCTCGCAGGACGGGTCGTCCGTCGTCGAGGGCGGCGGCACGTCGACGCGCACATCGTCTCTGGCGTTGTCACTGTAGGACCTGCGGCTGCTGCTGCTGGTGGCAGTCGGCCAAGAGAACATCGTCGTGGGGCCGAAGAACATTGCGGCGCGGCATCGTCGGTGTGGGAGTTGTGCGGCGAGACGTCGTCGGTGTGGCAGTGGTGCGCCGGCGGACAGGGGCAGTCATGGTGATGCATATGGCCGCCGGGGATTATTGTACTAGCCGAAGGCGAAGCTGGCCGGGAACGCGGATTTGATCTTCGCGTCGCGTCGGCGGTTTGCTTGGACTCACGTACGTTTGGTTGCACCGTCACCACGTACTGTACTACCTGGAGCCTATGCGAGGTGTATATATCGAACGATGGCTGGCCTGGCGTCGCGGGTTCGAGATCAGATTCCGTGCCGCGCCCGGAACGGTTTCATTCATGCACAATCTGTAGTAAATCTAGGAAGTAGATCACAAGTGTCATCAGATGCTAAAGAAAGATTTTGTTTCAAACATGAGCGAGGACAAATAACATGCACACATGGAGTCTGAGGCGGACGCACCCTCGACGTGCACCTCTGGGAAACAAAAACAAAGCGGACTACGAGACGCCGTGGTACAAATGTACAATACAGCGCGGCCGTTCTGGCGCCGCTGCGGTGGACACGGGCTCGGGAACATGGAGTTAGAGAGGCTCTGCGGACCGGGCTGTCCGGGCCAGCATCGTGGTGCGAGATGCCAATTGCTAGCCCAAAAGGCCCAGGTAATAACCAAACAGAGGCACAGGCGCTGCGCTTGACTTGCCTGTGCCGTGCGGTGCTTCAGTTTAGTCCCACCTCGGCCGCCTTGAGCGGGCGGGAGCGGAGGAAGCTTATAAAAGCAGACGCAGGGCAGGGTAGGAACTCATACCTTTCTCGGCCTTTTGGCTAAGATCAAGTGTAGTATCTGTTCTTATCAGTTTAATATCTGATACGTGGGCCATGTGCGTACTTCGATATTAAATTAATTTTTTGTGGGGGAGGGTTCACCACAGTGGCTTGCCACTGGGTTCTTGCGTGTCGCTCGGGCGTTGCACTACTGCCCGAGCCTGGCGCACCCCAGCCAAATCAAAAAGAAATTTTGTTTGGCCTAAACAAGCATGGGCGAAGTGAAATCATCCTTAGATGTAATCGAGGTCTTAAACTCGCCGTTCTGATTAAACCTAGGAAATTAGAGTCAAACTAGTCTTTTATAATTAGAATTGTTTTGTGCACCTGCCCTGAATCCCGTACCCGGAGTTCAAATCTCGATGGGACCTTTTATTTTTGTAGATTTTGTTTTGATTATTTTTTTGGCTGTTCTCATCCACTATTTTATTTTCTAAATCGTTTTTTGGCAGTTCTCATCTACTAATATAAAACAGTTCTTATAAAACGAAAACAGAGGGCAGCTGGGTTCGCCAAGCTTCCGCTCTTAGGCTTTGACTCCCACTGTCCATATGGATTTTTTTTTAAACTACTGTCCATATGGATTTGAGTGTGAAACAAGCTGTTTTTTTCTCTCCCAGTCCCTCTCAAGTATCAACACGTATGTATTGGAGCGTTTATTTTTCTCAACCCAAAGAGGCCCTACACCCAAACTGTGAATACAGCACCAGATCTGTTTGGAATTTGAATAAAAGCAAGTGATAGGCCGTCTCGCGGCTAGTGCTGGCTGCCAGGAACTCCTCTCTGTTGTCGCCGATCTCCATAAAGTTCTGATTGCTTGTTTTATCAATTTTCAAACTCACCAGTGTTGGACCACAGTTAGCCTCCCGACCACCGAGATGATCTCCAGACCATTACAGATAGCCTCCAGACCACCGATTACAGCCTCTAGACCACTACCTGATAGCCTCCAGACCATCGAGATAGCCTCCAGACCACTTCGTTGGTCTCACAGGATCACCGGCTCACGACAGTGAACCACTCCAGCCGATCTTACCGAACACCGGCTCAGGCGAGTGGAATACTTGTCGGTCTCGCCGAGCACGCGCTAGTGTTGCCGTGCGTGACCACGTCTGCGGCATTGTCCGTACCACACACTACGGATCGAGCTAGAAGAGGAAGGGAGAACAGAGGCGGATGCACAATACAAGGCAACAGCGTTGGCGAAGCCACATGCGTGTGATGACAAAATCGAGCTCTCTTTCTTGAGTTGCCATACATGTCTATTTATACAACTCTA